GCCACCTTTCGACAAGTTTTGTTTTCAACTGAGTGCCTAGCCACTCTAGTCACCAAAAAAGATTGTTGGAGGAAGCAGTTTAGTCACCGATAATATGACCATGCGGTAGGAAGTATTGGATTACCTAATACCAATAACACTGACTATAATATAATAGTGACGTGTCTATAATACAGTGTGTGTTCGTAAAAAACATGGAGACTAACATGTACCGGTTTAGAGATCGAATGTCTTATCCATATTGCGTGTATTTTAAGCAGTAACTCTTCATTTACGCAAATTTGGTTAAAAACCAACGAAAAGTTATTTTTGTTGACGCGGAATTTTCGGACGACGATAGATTGCGCTAGAAATGCAGATAGAAGTGAGTTCTGACAACTAAAGTAAAATGCCGAAATATCGACCCTAGAAGGAGAAAATTTATAAATTTATCAACACACTGAAGGTGCAAGGATTCCATTTGTCAAAAGGACTAATAGGAGATTAAGAAGTTCCAAGGCGAGAAGACAAAATGTGAAAAATACAACTCCATGGATATTTCAAAAGACTTCAGAAGGAATTGCAAATGAAATATGGTTTCCAAGAAAATATTTTTAAAATAAAATGAATGTCGATCTAGAACAACTCTCATGGTGTCGCTGTTCCACCACATCACAAAAGAGAGAAGTTAAAGAACATAAAAATTGAATAAATATCTAGACATTTTGAGGGGAACTAAAAAAAGAAAAACATTATACCCATCATTATTAGTGAGCTTGAAACGATCCTGAAGAACATTATACAGAGGTTGAAAGAACAGTAAATCCGAGGAAGAATTGAAACTATCTAGCCGACGCTTGTCAGAGGTTTTCTGCTTCTTTATCCCAAAGTTTCGTCTATATTTTTTTTCATTTTACTTGTTTCGTTTTTTGTTTTTTTTTTAAATACACCTTCTTTCTTTCATTCTATTTGTTCCCCTCATGTGCAGTCCTTTCATTATTTTATTGCTATGGACTCTGTTGTTATGATCCTTTCATTGATCTATTGTTTGTAATTTACAACTCCCTTTATAGTGTTGGCTATAAATGAAACCATCCTGTTCACTTTCCTTCTGATCAGCCCTTTTCTCTTCATATAAAGTCTATCGGCATTATATTTGCAGTCTGAAAAAAAATGCCAGGGTCATGATCATAATAATTGACGCGTGTGGAATCGCCCACAATACACAAGAGGCAAGTCTATAGGAATGGAAAATTAGAGGATCAGGGTCAGCAAAAACAATGAAAAAAGTGCTGGGAAAATGAGAGACTTGTTGTCACTCAGTCTCCACTAGATACCTCGGGCGCACATTCAAATGCAGGATTATTATTATTATTATTATTATTATTGTTATTATTATTATTATTTGTGTATGTTATGTTTCCTGCTTTGTATCCTGTAGAGCCGGGTTCAAACTATGGTCCCTAGGCCCTACAGAAGAATTGTCATTTAATTCATAGCACTTTTCTTAATGTATGGGAAGTTCTTATTAGGGCGATCTTCTGAGTAACCTGTATGTTGATGTTACCTGGGTCACAGTTAGTAAAATTATCCATTCCTCTTCTCACGAGGCCCAGAGCTCCGATTACGATCAGTACAGTCTCAGCTCAGTCTTCATTTTCCCCATCCTGCTAATCTCGATCTCCAGGTCCTTGTATTTGGACAATTTCTCGATAATTTTTTGGGAGGTGTTTCTCTCATGTGGTACTTCTATGTCGATAAGCACACACGTTGTTGTTATCATCATCATCATCATCATCATCATCATCATCATCATAAACGCTCCTGCATCAGTCAATGTAAATAAAGAATTGTTTCAATGTTTTTATTTCAATATTCAACGTGAATTCCTTTCTGCGAGAAGAACATCGTTAAGCAACCCCAAAGTTGAAGTTGAATGTTAAACATTCACGGAAGGAAGATGTTTAAGAAGATGTAGAAAATGTGTACTACTGAGAAAGTAAGTAAACAATGAAAGAGAAGGGAGAAAAAGGAAGAAAGAAACAAGTACGAAAAAGAAATGAAGAAACAAGAACGAAATGGTAAATGAAGAAATTTAAAAAAAAAAAAAAAAGGAAGTTAAACAAGAAGATGGGTCATACACATGTAAATAAAAAGATTCCACGAACGAATACGGTAAAAAAAGATGAGGGAGGAAAGAGTTTTTAAGAGATAAAAATGGGTTAGAAAATCATAGCTTTTCAATCTTACTATTTATTTCTCTTCCTCTTTATTCTCTCCCATCACCTTTTTAATTCCGTCCTATATTTAATAGCTTTTATTTTGCGAGAAACTGTTTTAAACGTTACATGACCTCACGATACGCGATACCATTTACTTTGGTTTTCAATTTAACCTCTCTTGCCCCTACCTCTCTTTCACTTTCTCATTCTCTCTCTCCTTCTCTCACTTCATCAAGTATCAGAACGTGTGAATTTAGTGGTCGTAAAAACTGTGACGTAGAGAAGTAGTCGACCAATCATTATTAAGCTGAACATTGAAAAACAAAGGAAAAATGTATGAAAAGAAAGGGAAAACAAAATACCAACGGATTAGGTGAATCAGTTCAACATAGTATAAAAGCACTGTTAAGTTTGGCACAAGGTTACACGTGGGCACTTCCCACTTATATCAAATTCAGATCAGCTTAAATAAATAATAATGAAAATGCTTATATTGAGTATCAGAAAAAGCAGATCACTACACGCACACACACACACACATAAATACACACACATGTGTATGTGCGCATAAACTGTAAAAATTAAAATAATGTCGGTTTAAAGAAATAAAATTTGTATACATATATATGAATGAGATAAAAATAATATATTATTATTATTATTATTATTATTATTATTATTATTATTATATGATCTACTCGAATACGGAGTTATCAATCATTATTCACTCGCGAACTATTGTAATAACATCCAAGATTAGGACAATATAGTCTGCGTGTAAAATTAATTAATAACCTCTCTCTCTCTCTATCTATCTCTCTCTCTTTTATATGTATATATATATATATATATATATATATATATATATATATATATATATATATATATATATATATATATATATATATATATATATATATATATATATATATATATATATATATATATATATATATATATATATATATATATATATATATATATATATACGGATACATATTTGCTTTAGGTATTATTTATATTATTTGCTTTATATATATATAGGTATTATTTATATTATTTGCTTATATATATATATATATATATATATATATATATATATATATAACAATAAGAAAATTAAAATTAAAAAATTAAAATCATTAGACACACTGGGTTGTAGATTAATATTCTTTCGTTTTTTATTATTATTATTATTCCATTTAGATTCCTCGACTAGTTTCGACCGAAATGGCCATCATCGGGAGGCGAAATATTTCTGCTTGCTGTTGGCAAGAAACTACAGAAATGAATGTCTTTTTGTTGGAGAAAATGAACTTTTGTCTGTCCAAAGCAAATAATATAAATAATACCTATATATATATATATATATATATATATATATATATATATATATATATATATTTTACATATTTACTTTATATATATATATATATATATATATATATAGGTATTATTTATATTATTTGCTTTATATATATATATATATATATACATATATTTACATGATAGATAGATAGATAGATAGATAGATAGATAGATAGATAGATAGATAGATAGATAGATAGATTCGTGTGTGTAAGTGCAATGCATCTGACAATTTACTTTAATGTGCATGGTCACACAAGCAAACGCACAGTGTACAGTGTAATAACCATATAAAGAATATGAACAAATATATATATGTGTGTGTGTGTGTGTGTGTGTGTGTGTAAGTGTGTAATCATGCATTTTAAAGCAACTTCTATAGATAGCAACAATAATTTGCATTAAAAAGAAAAAACAGATTTCTCAATTCTTTACTTACAAATTAACTTTTCTATATGTTTCATTAAATTATTAATATTAGTAAGTAACGTGATTTGGTTTGAAAATCTTGGTTTTGTTTTTTTTGTTTTTTGGTGTTTTTTTTTTTTTTGTAGTTTTCCCTATTTGTTGTTGCTTTTTGTTTGTTTGTTTTTGGGTTTTTTTTAAACTTATCCGTAAAAAAATGATTGTTTCTCCCTGTGTGTGTAAGGCACTTTCTTTACTGTCTGCTTTTGTTCATTTCTTTGCGATTCATGTGATATACCACTATGCATGAATAATACCGTGGACTTCTTTCACGCAGTGGGGTTAATGGTTAACGAGCTACTCTAAGTGTAATGTGTGACGAATTCGATCTTCATTAGCCTCCACACACTTGTGGTCTTACTCTTATCCCAAACTAAGCTAATCTTGGTAAATATTTAATTGCTAAAAAATAATTCCTTCATATATGTAAAAGTAAAACTCTTCTTTCTACATTGGGGAAATATTTGCAATTAACACATGGCTCGATAAAAAAGACATTGTAGTGAGTTCTATCGTCACTTAGTACTCCGTAAATGATGTCCTTGTAGCATATCGGCTTAATTTATTTCACATAAGTTTAAATACACAGCGATATAACAAATTGATGTGTACTTTTGTGACTCATTTGCGTCCGAAACAGACATACAGTGAGGGACCAAATATATGTATGTGTGTGTGTGTGTGTGTGTGTGTGTGTGTGTGTGTGTGTGTGTGTGTGTGTGTGTGTGTGTGTGTGTGTGTGTGTGTGTGTGTGTGTGTATATTTTTTATCGTTAAGTAAATGGACTGCTTCATTATCTTAACAGTTGGTTATCTTAACAGTTGGTTACTAATATTCAAATTTTACAAGGATCAATTTTCAATTTTTTCGGTCAATTTTTTGGATATTTATTATTTTTGATTTTAATATTTATTATTATTATATATATAGATATAGATATCAAATACATATATTTAATTTATTTATTTATTTATTTAGATAGATAGATATAGATAGATAGATAGATAAGATAGATAGATATATAGATAATGCGTAGAATAAGATAGATAGATAGATAGATAGATAGATAGATAGATAGATAATAGATAGAATAGATAGATAATAGATAGATAGATAAAAGATAGATAGATAAATGATAGATAGAATAAGATAGATAGATAGATAGATAGATAGATAGATAGATAGATAGATAATGCGTACATGTGCATGTTTCTTTTGAATATGATGAGAATTAATGTTTTTAATTAATCTTTCTTGTGTTGTTACATTTTTGTTCTTTTTTGAGTGTGTGTGTGCAGAATGTTTATTTTCCCAAGCGTTTCCGGCTAAAACTTTGTCATTTTCAAATGTTGGGTGGTACGTGATACCTAAAAAAAAAAAAATAATATATCCCTTTATCCGTTATATTCAACGAATCTGCCTAAAAGAAGGATTACTACCCATATATATATATATATATATATATATATATATATATATATATATATGTGTGTGTGTGTGTGTGTGTGTGTGTGTGTGTGTATACGTGCATGGGAATAAATGTGGTAGCTGTTGATGTTTTATGAAGTTGTGTATAGAAGTGTGACTGTAAGTTAATTGTTATCACACAAATTTAACGCCATATAAATGTTATCAGTTTAACTTTTAATAAGTATATTTATACGGCAACACTGAAGCATTCTAGTGAATTATATTCATATACAAACGCATGTGCACACATACACACAACACACACACACACACACGTACATTATTTATAAGTATTGAATCAACCTGCTAGGGGTATGGGATGTGGCATAAGACATTTGTCAAGGTTTCTCGACAATTCTCTTCGTGGGTAACGCAGAAATCTGTGATTGACAAATGACTATACTTTAAGTGGAATGAGGAGGTGCTGTTTGTTGGAACGGACCATAAAATTAAACATTCGTTTCTTTTTCATTTCTACAAGACATCCGGGAATATATACATATATATATATATATATATATATATATATATATATATATGCGTGTGTGTGTGTGTGTGTGTGTGTGTGTGTGTGTGTGTGTGTGTGTGTGTGTGTGTGTGTGTGTGTGTGAGACATGTCGGAATTTATTTAGTAGGGCAATATACTAAAACTGTATTTATGTACACCGTAATATGTAAAACAATAAAATATCTTTTCAAAATAAATGTCCCTTATAATTATTTCCCTTAAATTCACATTTATAAAATTATCCTATATAATTAATCATTAATTACCATTGTTAATGTGTAATTGAATGCTACAAATGTTCTTGTCATACTTAGCATCATATATATATATATATATATATATATATATATATATATATATATAAGTGGACATTGAAGTCAGCGGACATGGCCTGACGAGTGCGTGTAGCATGAAACAAACTGTCGCCTCTGGGTGTTGACTTCTCAATGTGCACTTTCATATTTACATACAGCCTGTCTCTGATATTGAGCACTTTAAGCCATAAATATACAGCATACCTTAAAACTATATTTCAGGATATATATATATATATATATATATATATATATATATATATATATAAAAAATATAAAATAATATAAAAGGCTCAAACACTAATACTCCGTTATTACATTGGAATCGTAATCACGATCCAATTCATCAGACCTACAAATTCAAAAGAAATCGAAAATATCTTTTCCGATTTCTTTTAAATTTGTAGGTTTGATGATCGTAATTACGATTCCAATGTAATAAATTATAATCATGAAATTTTAGTGTTTGAGCCTTTTATATTATGTTCTTGCTCTGTCCTGAACATTGAGCTCTACCTGGATTATATCCACTTGGAAATATATATATATATATATATATATATATATATAAGGAAGACGTTTAACATAACAGTTGAGAAATGTTTAATAGATATTTATATACGTGTGTGTGTGTGTGTGTGTGTGTGTGTGTGTGTGTGTGTGTGTGTGTGTGTGTGTGTGTGTGTGTGTGTGTAAAAGTATCATATATGGAATGATGGACACGGTATTGTGAAAATACTACGTTATTTTCATAATATCAAAAGTTCGTATTCTCACAGAAATTCGTACCTTTATCAAACGCCATTATTTTAGTAAAATAATTAAAACACCCAGATCCTCAAGCACCTGTTGAAGGCCGGATGGCACACGGCCGAAAAGTTGTGATAACATCAAAGATGAGGACAATAGTCTGCATTTAAATAATGTAAATAACTAAGATTTAATTCCAAATATATATATGCATGTGTGTATGTGTGTGTATACGTTAGTTCATGAGTGTATGCATATATTTATATGCTTTATTATATTACTTCATCTGCTATTTAGTTACATCT